ATTAATAAATTAATGATTTATAAAAAATATAAATTAAAAAAAAAAAAAAAAAAAAAAGTGAATGAATGAATTTAAATTCATTCATTTTTATTAACAGGGAAACAATAATTTCTGCGATCTTTATTATGCTGTTGCTGTTGTTTGAATGTTTTCTGTCAGCTTTAAAATTAAATTATTTAAGCCCTATTCGCTGTTCACCACAGCTGAAATAAAAACTAAAACTTTTCGTACTATTTAGTGTTTACATAATAATAAATTGTTAAAAAAAATAATAAGTGTGCCCCCATTAAAACTTATGTGCTCGCCCTCTCAGAGTATTTGAAAAGTGCTGAGTGACGTTGAGCACCAGCAGCGCGACAAGTGGAAATATACAATTTCTCCGGTTTTTAATGAATTATGACATTTTGCAGGCGGGGCAACGTTGACGTTAGCTTTATCAGGTTGCTGCCTTTGCCTTTACCTTTGCCTTTGCCAATTACAACGTGTTTCACATAAATACATGAATATATACATATGCGAGCACAAATATATAACTGTATATACATACGTTTCTTCCAAAGATGCGTTCACCATTTTACACCTGCCAGGGGCTGATTGTTGTCGCATGAAAGACAAGAAGCGGACGGCCACAATACGAGCGTCAAAATGGGTGAAAAGAAATTTTGCACTTAACGCGTTTTTTTTTTTTTTATATATTTTCTTTGCCTCTTTGGCTACAAAAACTGAAGTGTCTAAGGCTTGTCATATGGGTACTTTTTTTTTTTTTTTTTTGCTGCTTCTGCTTTTCCGCATATTTGTTTAACAGGCTCGCTGCTTGTGTGCTGTGACTCTCATGAATTTCATTTTAAATGCTTTCTCACACACGTGGCATTCAGTCATTCATTCATTCATTCAGGCATTCAACATAGACAGGACTAGCAAAGTCCTGGCTCAAGGCCTGCTTTTTTTTTTCTTGTTCTCCCTGGTTGAGTTGTTCGCTTCCAAATCCCTTGTTGCAAATAGGTGCTCTAATCCTGCGTGCTTTCTGGACACACACATAAGCACTCACAGCAAGCCAAAGACACACACACATACGTATTGGGTTTGCTTTCACGGCTTATGTGCAACTCAAGCCTGGAAAACTTTCATAAATATGTATCTGTGTTACCTCTTCCTCCTGCTTCGGCTTACCGAACTTACTACAGCCCGAGGCTTTTCTTTCAATTCCTCGCGCTAAGTATTTCAAATGCTTTCCTTGCCTTTAAATATTTGCAACCGCTTCCTGTTGCCAATTTAATTTTACCATTGAGGCCGTCAGGAATGACAAAAACTACTCAAAACAATATTTTTCAGTGCACTGCATTCCTTAATGTCGACTGCGACGCATGTCCCTGGCATCCGCTCTGCAAACAGGCGCTACATAGACGAAATTGTTGCACAATGGAGCTATGGCTTTAAGTGTTTACAATCGTATTGAAATACACTCCTGAAACTGAACAATTGTGCTGCTCATTTCTGAGTTTTCTTAGCTTAAGCCGAGAACTTAAAAAGTTTCTGAATAATACAGTGGTTATTTAAATTCAAATGTAGTATAATATTATTTATAACCTTATGATTTTTTTATACTCCTTAATTGATGAATATATAAGACTATAATCATTGATATTAAATATACAAAAAATATAAATATATATATCATATAATATATGATATAATTAAGATATAAATGTATGAGATATTTATTTGAAAGTCTTCACATGGATGTATTTACCATCATATATATCATATAGATGAATGTAGGCATATGTTGGTATATAATGATAATATAATATGATGATATATGATGGTCTATACTGAAACACAATATGTAAATAATGAGTAATTTCAGCTAGGCGGAGCTTTGGTAAAAACTCCGATAAAAGCCTATTTTAAAATGCTTAAAAACTCTTTTGTACACAGAATTTATATTTAATAAAATATGGTGCATAATATTTCAATGATATCACACACAAGTCGATCAATACAATATTCGTTTTTTGTGGCATATTCTTTGAAAACGCACCACTGTGCGGTCCTGCGAGTCAGCTACTTGAAAGTTTGCTTCGTTGAAATAGTTTTTCATTCACTCGGCGCTTTTTTTATGTGCCTATGGACAGGCGCTCTGAAAAGACCAACCGAGTGGGCGGGGCAGTGTCGGCAAATATGGTCCAGTGGAGCAGGCAGCATTGGCAGCTTAGGGCCTATGCGAATGTTGGCCACGCTGACCGCAATTGGCCGGGTGCAGGCCGCAGCCGCAGCTGCTGCTAATGAGAGGAAAGCGCTGCTTCTGACCGTGCAGAAAACATCTAATTATCGCTCACTCTTTAATGAAAATTTGGTTTTCGCATTTTCAATTGCAGACTACAACAGCGAGCCCAGCGGCGTTGGCGCTTTGGCCAGCAGCTTCGACAAGTCCGTTTTGCACATTTCCGACTGGCTGACTTGGGAACAAAATATGATCAAGATACAGAGCGTGCTGGTGAACGACGGCGACGCCGTCCGCCAGGCCATCGAGAAGCAGGAGGTAAGTTCCACTGAAAGTAGGTGGCAGACTCCATTCACTTCCACTCACTCTGCCTGCGTTTCGCTTTGTAGAAAGTTTTGCGTGAATTGAAAATGAAAAAGCCGCAACTCAATGAACTGGTCCACACAGCAGAGGTGCTGAAAGGCGACATCAAACGTCAGCAGCTGCAGGAAAAAGGTAAGCACTTAAATACGATTTAAATATATATACATTTATGGGTTCTCAGGAAACATCATTGCCCAGTCACACTCTCTTAGGCTTAAGGACGAAATATTGTGTTCACATGTATTTAAAAAATTTATTGATCGAAATTTGTATTGTAAATTTGAAGACATGAAGTCCAAAGTGAAAACTTCAAAAGAACTTGAACATTGAAATTATTCAAGATTTAATGGAATTGGGCGAAAGCATAAATCCTCTTGGGCCCACCACATGCTAGCATTTTCCAATTCATCGAGCAATTCGAGCCCATTTTATGGTGCACGGATATTTCATTAGGCCTCTCAGCTGTTGTCAGCTAAATGCCTTTATGAATTGCATGCAGATTGTGCTACACCTAGGGATCTAACGAGATATGCACATTTTTCATTTCCCATAACGACTTTCGTGCAAGCAAATTTCCGTTTTGTCAGACCGGCAAAAACACACTCACACGCACACACACACACACACACTCACTCACTCACTCACTCTCGGCCAGTGTAGGAGTTCAGTGCGAGCGAGCTCCATTTTAAATTCCAACCAACTCAAGCTGGCCCCAGCGTATGGAGCGGACATTGTGCTCGGCTTCAGTTGCAAAAATGTAAACGCCGGCCATGAGCTCCTGGCGCTGGGACGCTCTGCACGCTGGCTTTTTGTATAAACAACTTTAAACTGTATTAAACAGAGAGATACCTCGTAGTGTACGGAGTTTAATCAGTGGGGATTTGGCATATATATGGAATTCAAGCAATTCACCTTTGATTACCAAGACTACGATTAATGCTATGAGTCCTTTATGACTATCAGAGGTACAAAGGTACTTTAGCAAGCCTATCTTAACTACTACCTTAACTACTATACTATAGTATACTATAGTATTTCTATATACTACATACTATTGTACTACTATATACTATATAATACTAAATCATAGTACTATTTACGATGTACTGTAGTTCACTATATACCATATTGGACTACTATATACTCCATACTATAGTAACTTGACAACTATAGTATACCTATATATTTTAAAATTCGAGGTAAGGAAAAATGTTTAATGTAATATCTATGAACAGCTTTCAGAGATTTTGCATTTCAAGATTGACCCTTTGGAAAATAAGTTCCAAAAACATATCTAGATAATAAGTTTTCTTTTGTGGAGCATCAACTGCTTGAGTGCTGAGATAAGAACTTTTAAGCCTTGAATTTCATATTGCGAATGAACATTTATAGAAGTTCGTGAATTTCTAAAATACATTTTATATATTGTTGTAACAGTTGACAAAAGATGAAAGCCTTCAGGTCTTTTGGTAAGAAATGCAATGTTGCTTACCACTTGATGTCTATATCTTCTAGACTTTTCGTTTGCTTTTATAAATATATTTACATTTTTAATATCAGTTATATATACAAAGTTCATATAAAATATAAACTTCTAATTAGATAATATGAAAACTCGCAAATCTTAGGCAGAGAATGCATTCAAGAGTATTTGAGTATTGTATATAAATAAATTTGATTTGCATTTTAAATATTTTTCATACCCACATAGTTAAGCATATATGTAAGCTTGTTAGTTAAAAACAATTTTTTTTTTTTTTAAGAATTAATATGTATAAAAATTATCTCTAATATGAAATTTGAATATTCTTAACAATTATCTGGGCATAGAGGTTTAAAGTGAGTTCCGTGAATGCTTGCTTAATAAGACCTCTTTCCGGTCGTTAAGAGGTATCGAAAGGCGACGAAGCCAACGCTGTCGAATGGCATTGAAAGACAATGGCAAAGTTCACAGCAAATACAAATACAAAGAAATGTAAACACACACACACATACATACATAAATAGTGAGTGCATAAAATGGCCTGCAACATAAATCGGAATTGGTAAGTCATTTGAGCCGGCAGAGGTGAATATGCTTTACAGTTGCAGAGTCACTGGGAAAGAGCGAAATGTTGCCTCAAGAGAGTTAAAAATTCACTGCATGTCAAGAGGCGCATGCTCACTTCTATGTATGCGTGCCTGTGTGTGTGTGTGCTCAGTGATATTTCTGCCTTTTTTTTTTTTTCTTGTGATTCGTTCATTTGACTCTCAGTGGAATTTTAATGTGGCAGCAGGCAGCTAAAATTTCTGCCAGTTGACATATAATTGACATGCGGTGCGGCAGCAGGGCGGATGGTTAACATTTTTATGTCCCTCTTGGTTGTTGTTGCTGCTGCTAGTACTCCTCCCGCTGCTAGTACTCCTCCTCCTCCTGCTGCTGCTGCTGCTCTTACACAGTTTTGTATTTTATGTCATTGTTTGCCAACTCTGGGGGAATCGGGCTGCAGTCGGCTGCATTGGTTGTGTGCTCTTACATATTATTATGATGTTTGGTTTGTCATAAACATTTGTAGCCTGTCCTGCACGTACACAAGTGGAGTCCCTGTTGCTGTTGCCCCCGTCCGCAGACGTCACTTGGGTCGCAACCTGCTTCTGCCACATGTCACCGATACTGCTAGTTTTCTTTTCTCTTTTTTTCTGACTTCTCGAGCATATTACGGAGTTCACTTGACCAATAGTGGGGACAGATTCATTATTTCCGTTTCTTTTATTTGACTTCTTTTAGTTTCACTTTACTTCCACGAAATGAGTTTCCATTGCTTATTATATAGCAGTGGTTCTGTAATTGCTACCAGGAATCAGTCATAATTTCAACAGTTTTTAAAGGGGAGTTCTCTACTCATATCATAGTTATCAAGAGATTAGTTAGGAGAGTGTTTAGTATTTTAAACCAACTATTTTACATTTTTATTTGCATTATATTTATATTTTAAACTATTTTAATCTGCATAGTTAGTTTAGAGTAAATCTCGTCTTTTAACGGCAAAATTTTGCTGAGTTATTTTGCCTTAAAAAGTTTTCAAAATTCTGCTCATTATCTCGTCAGAGTGTGACGAAATGCAATCACAAATTTGCTTGTTTAATTAATTTTTAAGCAACCTCTTGAATCAATTGCTAAATTTCAACCACAATTGCACAAATGGGGATTGCGGTACAATTAAGTTGTTCACCTGCCGAAATAATTGGCTGGGGACGCAAAGGACATAGGTGGGTTCGCACACACATTGTGGGCAGTCGACTGAGGTTGGGCCAACTGATGGGATAGGCTGGCTGGCAGGCCGGTTGGCAGGCCGGTTGGCTGGCTGGGTCTGTCGCTTATCTGGGACCAAGCGAACTGTACACAAAATCAATTAATTACGCATTTTGTAAGCTGACGCTCAATTAAACCATTATTTATTATCTCGTATGGCTGGATGGCGTGCCAAGGGGTGCGGCTAGGCAAAAAGTTGTGCCAACCCGATCGACCCAGCTTTGTTATCATTTATAGTGCGCCTACAGTGTGCAGAGGGTGTGGAGGGTGCTCCGAGGCATGGGCATAGCTGGGCAATGTGTGTGCGTTGGTCGTAAATCTGTCTTTGACATGCAATTTCAGTGCAGCGGCTGTTGCTGTTGCTGTTGCTGCTGCTGCTGCTGTTGCACTTGCTGCTCCTTCAGCCAGCCAGCAGGAGCAACAACTACGACAACAACAACAATATATCAGCAATAACAATGCACAATTCTGCCAAAGGACAACGCACTCGCCCACTCCTGAGGATAATTGTGCCCAGTGTGTGGTGCCCAGCCCTGGGCTGAAGGCAGCTACCAAATTGCCTCTAATTGTCGTCTTTCTCTCAGCAATCTGCAACCTGCACCCGTCCTGGCCCAGCACCACGCCCACTTCACGCCATTATATGCTTTAATAGGCCTACTCCGACCACCGCTGCCCTCTCTAGACCCCAGGAGACTCCCTGGCCTGGCAGGCGCTTCCTGCCTTGTGTCTGCGCTTTCAAGAAGTTGTTGGCTTGTGATGCCCTTGCCGGGGGGCTGGGCATTATGACTATCTGATGAGCCGTAAATAATTTAGTTAATGTCTATCATATTTCGCTATGGAGCGATACGTGGACCGTTTTTATGAATTTCAAATTGTTTTTGCAACAAACAGCAAAGATTAAAGACGAGTTTGTATTAAAATGGTGGAAAAATAAAAACTTTGCTGAACAAAAATTTTGCTTACCAAAATT